TATTTATGTCAATTTTTACTGTTAAGGCAGCACAAGTATTTTGGAGAGAAAATTGACACAAATAGCACCAAAGTGAATCGCTGTAAAACGTAACATAAGGGTGTTAAATGGCCTGAGACAAAACGCTCAGACTGTCCATAATTGGGTATGACTCGGCCCCACCATGCAAACCGGCTTACTTCGGCTCAACTCACCCCACGAAGTCCGCTTGTATCTCGTCAATTTATTTTTTTTTTAACTAAATTTTTTCTCACCATTTAAGAGATCGGCTCCGAGCTAATTTGTATGAATCGACGAAAGACTGAAACGAGAAATTTGTTGTTTAGCTCACACCTTACCTACTTAATTAACCCTCTAGTCGTGATAATTTTTGAAAAATATTAAGTATCAACTATTGTTAAACGTCTCAATTTTGAAGACCCAAAGTATAGTAACTCAGCTAAATAATTGGAAAAAAAAAAGTATATACGTTTAATATATACGGTAAATTTCACTTATGCATGGTAAGGGGATTACCTCCTATACATAAATAAGATAGTTGTGGGATCCCTACCCATATATATAAGAGATTGAAAAGGGGAACACACGAGGTGGACTCCACCTTACCTTCTAAAATTAAACAATAGAGAAAGGGTATAAATGTCGTACAATAATTTTAGTCCTAGCAACTAAACCCAACGATACTTATATAATTACCCATATTCAACTCCACAATCTAACCATTTATACTTACTTCACGAGCAAGTATAACTTCCCTTTACAAAGAATCAAAATACGAAGGAGGAAGCATTGAACCCTTAAATCTAGAGTTACATGGGGAAGAGAGCAAGATGACTTGAAATGAAAAATAAGGATGTTCTATCACCTTTAAGAAGCAAAGTTAAAAAAATTAAATTTGAGTGTTTCATCCTTTATTAATATCAGTATTTTAAGAAACGTAAAAGTTTAGCGAGACGTAGAGGTCAAGCTTCGAATTAGGCATTAAAAAAAGTGTTTTCCTATTTTAATATTATTTAAAATTTTTAAATCAATCTAAAAATCATTTAATAATTATAGAAAAAAGCATAAAAATGCACGCTTATATATAGATATATAAGCAAAAATAATAAATAATAAATAAATAAATAAGTGAGATGGGACGTTTTACGCTCGCTTATCATCTTGGTGCCTCTTTTTAGACACTAATTAATACTATTTACTTCAAAATTCGATGTCACTACTATTTTCATCTATTATTCCTTGTGATGATACTCTCTATTTTTGTTTTCCTTAATTAACAGATGATATACTATCTACTTACAATGAAATCGTAAATGATGATAATTGTTTTTATAGTTAAGTACAAAGATTTTATTGTAGAATGGTGCTACACTTACAAGGAAAAATTATACAAACAATTCACAGAATAGACACAAGAGTAGGACCCACCTCAATAAAATATTCACATGGGATCCACCCCCATATGACTTCCCTGTATCACCTCTGAGAAAAAATGCCCTGTGCATAGGGCATTTTCCTTTATTGTAACATGTTCCAAGAAGATGAAGGCTCGCTTGATAATACTAATTTTAAATTTGACCGAATGTTTGAGTTTTAGATCAACGAAATTGGTCGTTTGAGCCTTTTGAACTCTTGTACTCGGTGTTCTAAAATATAAGCATATGTTCGATGTGTTTTCGAACATATGAGGTGTGCATATGATAATACAATTAATTCATTTCATTGATTGCGTATGCACACTTGAAAGCCACAATTTTTCTCACGTCGTCGTGTTAAAAATTATATCAAAATTAGTGTAGTAAAGCCCAACCCAAATTTATGACTAAAAAGGGTAAATCAAGCCCAATAAACATCAAATTAGCCCACATCACCCAAGTTCATGTATTATATACTGCTATTTGTATGATTTTAATGTTTAGAAAAATTAAAATAAATTTTTTGTAAATTTGCAAACTATCTACGTCAAGTCCGAGTCTCCTTTCTCTTTGATCTTCATTTATTCTAGTAATGTACAATCTTAAATGGCAGATTGTTGTGATGATGAGGATGAGATTGATAATATCTTACCATCCACAATATGTAGAAATTCTCGAATTAAAATAAGAGAGAAGAATGAAGATATTTGTACATCGAATGGCACATAAGATGATTTGGATGAAGACGAGAAGATTGAATTAGAATCAAATAAAGAACTAGACAAGATTGAGGTTTTTTTTTTTTTTTTGCCCCCTTTTTTAAACCAGTGTTCATGTCTAATATAAATGTAGGAATTGATTGTCAACTAATTGTAGTGTTTATGATTTTCAGCAATATGTTTTTATTGAAAGTTTGAAAATATGTATAAAGTTCAAGCAATTGTAATATTTATGGTTCTAGGCAATATGCTTTTGTTGAAAATTTGAATACGAATAAAATTCAAAGAACGCATTATTTTATTTATTTATTAATTTAGAATTTTTAAAATAATATTAAAATTTAAAAATACTTAATTACGCATATGTTTCGTATATGCACTAATATGATTGTAATGCTTAATACTTGATCGAAACACGTTGCCATATATTACACATTTTAGATCCTTGTTTGTAACGCATTGGATCTTAGAGATACATCTTAAATAATCAACCTCAGCCCAAATACTAGTGTACATATTATAATTTCAATATTCAAGTGATGGAAAATTCACTACTAAAAAACAAGGCTTCAGGCACGGATTTTCCGTGCCTGAAGCCTCAAAATCCGTTGCTAATAATGTTCACCAACCGAAATTAATCGACTGAAAGTCCGTTGCTATTGTGAGGGTCGCTGATAGTTTACCAACAGATTTTCAGTAGGTAAAGCATAAAACTTTTACCAACAGAAAATCCGTTGGTAAAGGTCTTTTCAATACCAACGAAAAAACCGTTGGTAAAACCTTATCCTTTTCCAACGCAAATTCCGTTGGTAAAAGTATTATCATTACCATCGGCAATTCGGTTGGTAAATATCTAGCATTACCAACCGATTGCCCGTTGGAAAACCCTTAGAAAATTGTATCATTACCTACTGAAAATCCGTTGGTAAAGTTCACCGTTACCAACCAAATTTTTGTTGGGAAAACGCATGTCATTACCAACGGATTTTCCGTTGGTAAATTTTGCCTTTGCCAACCGATTTCGCGTTGGTAAAAGTTTAAAATACCTAGCATTACCAACCGAATTGCCGTTGGGAAAACTCTAAAAAATTGTATCATTACCAACGAATGTTCCGTTGGTAAAGTCTACCTTTACCAACCAACTTTCCGTTGGTAAAAGTTTTAAAACTCTATCATTACCAACGGAATTTCCGTTGGTAATCTTTTTCGTACAAGTAGCTTAATTAATTTATATATTAATAAAAAAAATACTATAAATTTACGAAACTTGCTAAACTAATAATCAATTAGTACCAAAGCACACTAAATAATCAAAATGCAAAATTTATAAAACCTGTATATTAGTATCAAAAAACACTAAATAATAAAAAATTATCAAAATGCATTAAAACTTTAATAGATGAAGTTATTACATCAAGATTCCAATGTGTATGAACATCATGTCTTACACATCATCATTTCGTGACCCCGAGCTAGAAGGAAATTGAAAGTTTGGAATGTTTAGTTCCCTAAGCATACTTCGCACTGTTTCTTGCATCTCAACCTTATGATTTCTTTCTACTCTTTCCAGACGTTGAGTGAGATCATCAATTCTTTCGTTGTTTTCTTCTATTGTATTTCGTGCACTAGCTAATTCCAACTTTAAATTATCCACCTCTTCATCACGTGCAAGTATTGAACGTCTAGGTGAAGTGGGCATGCCAAGAACATGCGAAGCGGGTTGTCGAGGACCAAACCCATAAACACGACCCTTAGATGGACCGTTGATAGCATCCATCCATGAGTCGAGATCAAACTCAGGCTGATCTTCTCTAACGGTACCATACTTAGACTCGATTGAGGCCTTATAAGTATCCTGGAAAAAAAAAACCTTATCTTACTCATTATATTAACAAACTATGAAGTACATAAACTTTAATTGTACTTACATGAACTCGCTTGGATTTTTTATCAACAAAATCGCCAAGTCCATGATTCTTCTTATGGACATGACTAAAAAACTCTAATTGAGACATTGGACGACCCATATCCTTCTCCTAGATTTTATGCAACTCATTAATCACAATCAGTTAAAAATATAAATGAACTTTAAAAATATATATATAAATGAATGAGATAAATATACCAATCGCTTCTTCATAGTCACAAAGGAAACTGAGCCCGCAGTATGCTTCTTCATTTCACCATCCTGTCCTTGTGAAAGGCGATTCTCACGTGCAATCTTTGCATTACTTTTCCACTTTTCGGTACTCCAATAGTTTACTAAACTATCCCAGTGCTTTGCCCTTATCCAATGTGGGCCATGTCCTTTCCAATCGGCAGGATTATCAGATTGACTTGAACGTTTTGCTTTCTCACGAGCACCATTCATCATATCTTTATATCTATCCTTTGCCGTCTTCTTCCACGTGTCATACATATCGACAGTATTCGACATTGGCCATACATATTTATCCTTGCAAATTTATAAAAAAAAAATAAATTTTAATGAATAGCAAAGGAAACAATTATAATAAATAATAGTTACCAGAAATCGATTCCATAAACCATCTCTTATTGGTTGTGGCATTGAGCAAAATGTGGACTATGGGCCATCAAAATATGCTTTCTTGGTGGCGGTGATGTCACGCGGTACAAAAGTTTCAACAAAACTGCTTAAATGACAAAAATATGATAAGAACATTTCGATAAGTTACACAACCAAATAAAGTTCGAAATAAGACATGCAATCAATTATTATATGTCAACTCTACGACTCCATACATCAATATGAATCGTTTTTAACTTACAATAGATTCAAGAGATACTAGTTAATTAGTGCACAATATAAAATGCAATATATGTTACAAAACCTACTCGAGTATGTTTTTAAATAAACAAAACCAAATTCCAAAGAAGTATACTTACTTGTCATTTTCAATACTTATTTCTATACGTTGTGATCTATCAGCGGGCATAGGAGTGCCACGATTAGGACCCCTAGTCTTGTTGCTACTTCTGGACACTTCATTTGTATTCTCACCTCTCAACTCATTATTAAGAGTATTAAGCTCTTGATGTTCGTTATTGCCCCCTATAGATCTTGTGCTACCGCCTTGTGTTGATCTTTGTTGTCTTAGTTGACTAGATATATTTCTTCCTCTAGTCAGCGACACCCTGCATGTCAAGCAAATTTATTTAAACATACGTGTATTTTTAAGTAATTGTCAATATTAAGAAGACAAATTCTAGATGGGAATATTATTAAAATTTTAAAACTAATCAAATCAGATATAAAAAGGGTATAACCAAATTGGGGATAGAACACATCTAGTAGTGATGATATGAAGTTCTAATCAAAATCTTAGAAGTTTGTTTAGGGAATTGTAATTCTAGATGTGAATATTACTAAAATTTTGAATTCTATTGAAAACCTTATCTTGAATTGATACAAATCTAAAACTTTTCTAAAATTTGTTAACTATTGCCTTTTTCTCTAATGTCTTTTAAGCATCACATGTTATTGAATTTGAAAGATGAATACTAAAACATACCTGTCTCCCTTGGCCCTTTTATTAGATCCAAACATTTCTTCTTGATGAAGTTCATCATCTATGTGCTCATCTTCGATCTCATGATTGGAAATATTGGCCTCATGATTATCATATCCATCACGTGCAGATTCCCTATCGCCATATTGCATGGATCTCCGCTGACTTGTTTGGTCAGTATATCCTCCATTAGTCGGGGACATCATGCTTGCGAAAATAATTCAAAACAACAATTGTTAAATTTGAGGCTAAGCGGTTCATTTCTTTTAATGGTTATTGTTAGCACTTTTTGTTAAATTTGCAGCCATTTACACACATATTTCACAATGTACAATAAATGTATACATTCAAAATTACCTGTGACCCCTTGTCCAATTATTAGATCTAGATGGCATGTCTTGATGAAATGGTTCGTTTATGTCCTCATCCTCCATATCATCATTAGAAATATTAGCCTCAAGATATCGATAATCGTCGCGTGTAGATCTCCTACCACCACCCCTTGTGGATCTCTTATGACTTGATTGACTAGAGTTATAGCCTCCTCTAGTTCGAGTCATCCTACTTGCAAAATTAAGGAGTGAAAAAAAATCATCAAAATATAAAGGAAAATAAATTAATAACAATAGTTCTAAATAAGTAAGCATATTTAGGACGTAAAGGGAACGTAAAAAACACAAAAATAATGATAGTTATGTGCGTACATGTTCACCATTGTCATTTTCACTGGGATTCGATGTAGAGCTATTATTGTCATCGTCTACCTCATGTATATTCTCTTCTTCTTGTGAACTTTCTTCTGTACTAAGCATGCGAGAGTTCATAATGTTACTAGGTTCCTCTACTTCTACTTCTTCGAGAAAAACATTACCTCGAACTAAATCTTCATGATCTAACTCTGGGGATATCGAAAGCGGTTGTATATTATGTGGTTGATCCTCTTGGAATGGAATTTCAATCAAGCTAGGCTCGTCATTTTCTGATATGACTCCTCGAATATCAATGACATGTCTGGCTTTTGTTTTCACAACTGCCCACCAGTCACGCCGATCTCTAGAATTTGAAGGAAACTTCGTGTAATATACTTGTTGGGCTTGTTGGGCAAGTACGAAAATGTCATTTCTCACCACTATTTTCTTATGATTAATCTCAACAAGGTTAAATCGTGGATGAACATGAATCCCATTCTCATTGTCAAACCAATCACATTTAAATAAGACAACCTTATTTTGAGGTCCAAAATATTCAATTTCCCAAACTTCAAGTAACATACCGTAATAATCGTGCTCATAATCATTATAACAACTTCCCAGAACGCATACTCCACTATTCATAGTGGTTTTATACAAGCCATATTCCAAAGTATGGAATTTGAAACCATTTACAAAGTATCCATTGTAACAGTTCACTTTACGAGAAGGACCCAAAGCGATATTCTTCACTTGAGAATCAACCACATTCTTTCATCCAAAACCTGACAAAAAAATGTGCTTACTAATATCTTATAAAGGCTATATTTTTAGTACTGAGGTTCTTACATATTCTTTTAGCCAATGGGGAAAACGGTTGTCACGTAATTGATCAAGTTGTGCATCAGATAGTTGAGGATAATCCATTCTCATTTGTTCATCAAACTTCCTATGAATAAGATCACGATGTAAAAGTTAGTATAACTAGTTGTGATTTAAGGAGTGAATATAAAATGATTATTATTATAGTTTACCTTACAAAGGGAATAATTTCTTCACAATTTAATAAAACATATAATGATGCTGCTTGTAGCTCGTCATCTTTCATAAACTTTGTAGCTGGAGCTTTATTACTCAGAAATC